TTCTTTTGATACAACCGTACATTCTACTGAATAAACTACGGCTCGTTGTGTTGCTACCTAAGTGGGGTTTAAAACTTAAAGAACCAATACTCCAACAAAAGAAATAGTTGTGCGTACTAGCATAATACTTAAACCAAAGATAGAAAATTTAGTCTAAATGATGAGGCGGACAAAATCGGGTCACAAAGCCCCTGTCTGTAAAACAATGATTCAACAAAAGTCACCAGGATGAAACTTCCCTAATATACGATTTTTCTATTTCGCCTGTCGACTTAATTAATATTCCTCGATCGCCCTCACTCTTCATATAGCCCACATCCATCATTCAGATAACTGATAAAATGAATGCAAACTACAAATCAAACCAGAGTTGCGCTATTGTGTTTAAGTCTCAGAACGGAAACTATCCGTGCAATCAGACAAAACTACTTTAAAAAATATCAAATGAAGATTAAGTCTTTAATTGAAGTAGCCGGCACTGTATATCGGGTCATGGATACTAATCACGTGACCGACTGACTATAATAAGAGAGTACTTGACAATACTCCAATACGCTATAAAGTTGGTTTCATTCAGTTTAGTTACCTCCCGTTTGAAGAGCTCTCATGTGGGGTACAACTTCGTATACATCCGGGTTCTTTCCCATTGGATTACACAGGGGTGCGATTTTCAATGTCGCACTGCGGGTTTATTAAACATTTATGTAAAGTTGCATTTGCACAAACGATGGATTTGTATATACAACAAGGCTTTTTGAATTATAATTCCCAAATCCAAAGAAATCTGTGGTTGAAAATGCCGTCCAATTCCAGTGACGTCACTGATTTACCAGAAATTACTCAGACGCCAATGAAGATCGAAAAAATATAAATGATGTAACTTTGAATCTTCGATTATATCTTTCTGATTATTGAATAAAATTGAGCATTGAGATTGAGCATTGAATTGAGAATTGATGGCTGACGGAAGATCGGAAGCTGAGAAACTGTCACTTTGTTAAGATTCATGCTAGTTTTATCTGAATTTGTTCGAGTAATCGTCCGCCATTTTCATGCTATATATACGCTATGATGTAATCATCGACCAATGAAATTAGCGGATCGTGACCTTTGACTTTGCAATCTCCCGTTTCGTTCAGAGTAATCGACTCGTTCGGAGGGCCAATGAAAATGTGTCCCTTCCAAAGCGATGCATCATGGGAGATATTTATGTAAATTGCCACCTGAACTCTTATAATTGCGAATTGGACTATTGATTTACAAGCATTTGTTTTGGGGTTGTTTCGTGTATGGTTTGCGAGTAAAAGCAACAGCTTGACTATCTCGCAGAGCTCTCGTTAGTAGCAATAAAAGAATCTAAAACGCCTGGTCGGATTTGATTTTTATTCTGTTTCTTGATACCTCAAGGGATTAAAGGTCTACTGTAATAACACTAAAATAACAATTTGCAAGCATTCTAGCCGCAAAAATTAATACAACTATCGGAAAGATAAAAAGCGTCGATTGATGACGACTTATAGATATTCATTTATGAATAAATGCGAACGGCGTACGTGTCGCTGTAAATCCATGATAGTCGCTGTTACATTGTAAATGGACTTAACTAGATGGCTTAGCATTATAAGTCTATACACAACTGTCTCTGATCCAGACAGTACGGACGAACAACGGCGTTAATGAGTTGAAACACAGGAGATTATTGGCGAAGTAATTATACACGTACATAGGATTAGAGGCAGGGCAGTCTAACACGGCATTCAAATTAATTTTAGAGTAAGGTGACCAAAGATGGTTCAAAATCATCAACAATCTGAATTTCTGAAACAGAATTTGAGTGCTGATAATATTTGAGATCTAAAACATTAGAGATCTAACTTATAAGGTGGAATAGCGATAAATCGGAAAAAATCCAATAGAAAAACTCCAAAATAAATCGGTGGTACCTTAAACCTGTCCTGGAGATCGGCTTTGACCTCAATAAATCACTCACCTCGACATCGACGAAAGCTTAAAGCTTCTCGTTCAGAGTGATATTAACAATATATTAACGATAGAGGGCTTTTGACCTTTTTTAAACTACGTCATCTGGTGACGGTCAATTTTCCCGCGAAAATGCCGAAAGACAAAACTAAGTTTGAATTCGCGAATGCAACTAACGCCTGTGGGCTATCCAAGTGCTTATTTAATATCCGAGGCTTAAGTAGTGTACCAAACGAAACGAGAAGCGACACGACATCCAGGGTTTTGTATGATCTTCATAAGACAATGGTGTGTAGAGGGGTCAGTTTTCTCAAACCTTTTTTTGTTCAGTTTTGCGGTTATTTAAGTCTATGACATTGCAATCCGTTCAAATCATTTGCTACATAATTGATAAACTTAAATATGTGATATGTAAATAAGGGTTAATACGAACAGAATAAACAGTGAAATGTAATTTAAGTGGTGATTGTGTTTTCTGCTTATGTGTGTCACCCTGTTTCGGAAATCCCCATTACACTAGAGTCTATGGGTCACGTGATTATGCAGATGAGAAGACCCCATTGATTTCCCGGCAGAACAATCAAATCAGACGCGGACAATCTTCGTTTTAACTATTGTTTCTGAACGGTTCGTGACCAAATTCAATAAACTATAGAAAATATGTTACCTTATAAGGAGAGATTGTTTTTACTTACCAATCATCAACATGTGCTGACATATTCAGCTCTGGACTCCATGTCCAAGGGGGGGGGGGGAGGGAGGGGGTAACACACACTGTCACAATAAATTAAAAGTTCTCACACCCCTATGTTTAATCGGCTAATTCAAATCGGGGTGCGGTGAAAATCCGAACGTCAATTTGCGAACGTTCCGGGTATTACGTTCGCCCTTGGGCTACAGGATTAACCGGGCTACTATCTTATGACCAACTTATTTAGATATGACTATAGTGGCAGGTACTATTCATATTTAAATAAGTTACCCGCATAATAGTAGGTTAATCCGGTAGCCGTCAGTCGTTAGTTGCATTCGTGAATACAAACTAAGTAAAAGAAACATCGCCACCTATTGTAGGTTGATCGAGTTAAATTGATATTTTCGAACGATGGAAGAAAATTTGCACAAAACTATTAAACTCCGCTTGACGTGTGTTCTTCATCACTATATCGTCATTTTGTTGATATATATCGGAACTTATGGTCAGATGGTTCATATCCATTTAACCAAGCCACAAAAAGTAAGTAGTCAGTTGTTTAATCATATGAATATTATGAGCATTCTTCCTTTAAGTCTCAGTAAGCATTGACAATTGCGCGCGTCCGTCCCGATTTATCTCGTCCGTCCTGTTCTCGGACAGGCCGCACGTCCTTAGTCGCTAGATATTACGTGCAAATGTGTTCTTAAAAAGTTCTGAAAGACATGACAACACAATTCCAGATACAAGGTAAAGTACATCGAAGTCTGCTACTTAATCATTATAACTAGAGCGCATTAATCAACGGTTGCAAAGCCATTTAGATTGACTCTGTCAGGATAAAGATCACATGAATCCAGTAATCAGTTATCCTAAAATCTGTCCTGAACTACTAGGAAAACTTGCAAAATATCATCGACGCTGCGTCACAACAACGTGGGATAAGTGTGCAGAAGCCCCGGAAGCGATTGACATCAGACCTATCCTAGATATCAAATGCGTGTTCGATGATCTAATTAGTTTGAAAATTGTATGGATTAAAACTATATGTAACATTATTTATTGTAAACGTAAAAATACAAGACACTGATAAATGGTATAAGCCGTAAGGGGAATCATCTACTCCGTGTATTAGTGAAAAAACAGCCAGTTAATATTTTGCGTTGAAGATATCAAGCCTCGTTTCTTATCTTGCGAACTGTGTAAAGGTGCCGTAAGATGATAAAAACAGCAACGATGACAAGAATATAAAAGTTCTCACAAGTTTGAAAAGTAAGGTACAATATAAAACAGGATCCCTAATTGCCAAGGGCATTTAACATCTACTTAATATTAATGTACAATAGATGCAAAGACATTGACCACGTAACCAACTTCGACGTGAATCTAAAAGCTGGTTAGTGTTAAGTTGTTAACTAACTATAGCGAGAATCCTCTGTAAAGACATAGCGCTAATGAGTTGCCTGTGGGAGTTTGAATTTACAGGCTCAATTCAGAAAGTGATACATGATTAGTAAGTTGACATTCAAACGATTGCTATACATGTAGATACATTTAGCAATGACGAAGGTGAATTATGCAAAGAAGCCACTAGATATAGGAGTTACTGCATAGACATTGATAAATTGCAATTTAAATATCAAGCTCCGTGGACAAACAAAATAAATAATAGGAAATATAAATGTATTTTCATTAAATTATAAGTCTGTTCTACAATGTATTTGCAATAAAGGTATGTAAAATGTTACGCAATAAAGACGTTGTTTAGATCCAGACACTTTTATAAGTGAGATACACAGACACGATCCACAAATCGAAATAGCATGCGTTGATTAATAACGAAATATTGCGAAGCGGAGGATGATTATAAGATTCATACTGATCCGAACAAACTACAGTTTCATGACATAACAGAAATTGCAATTTCCGAAACAAATTAAAGTTGGAATGGATATGTAGCTAATACCTGACGACCAAACCAAATACAAAAGAGGAAGCATGATATAACTCTATTTCAATCCGACATTTTATCCAGGGATCGTGTTATCATATCACGTATGATTATAACTGCTAATTGTAATACGTTGATATAGAAGCTGAAAAGTAGAAACATAAGCGACTCAGTGGATCACAGAGTTAAATATACTTTTGAAATTTCCCGTAAGCGAGACGATGCATCGACACTAATTATTGAAGACGTCGCAAAGTCGAATGCATGATTGATAGACGTACATTGGTTAATAAACGAACGAACTACGTTTTCGAACTGGGATGTCCGTGTCATGTAAAATCAACACTGGTGGAATAAAGGCGGGATATACATGTATAGACACGGTCATTAGATATCTGAGCAACTGAACTTGTGTGCAAAATGAATGAAAACCAAAGTGATTGGAGTTTAGAAGTGAGCGTTGCGGATTATGATGGCGTTAACGCGACCATCTACGGATGGCCACAATTGGGACAGGATTTTAAGCCCAGGAACGAGATACTAGACGAGATACGTAAAAGCTTTTTTAAATACCATGAGCCCATTTCGTCCACTTTGATCTCCCTCTACGCCATTATCTTTACTCTGGGGTTTATTGGAAATGTGCTCGTAATATACGTTTTTATCAAAAACCCCAGGATGCGAACGGTAACAAACTGTTTCCTGGTGAATTTATCGCTTTGTGATTTGATGGTTGTTTGTATCTGTATGCCATTTGCTGTTGCCATGGAGATATACAGCAATTGGATTTATGGAAATGCTATGTGCAAAATTGTGAATTTCTGCCAGGGGATATCAGTGTCCGCAAGCATCTTAACTATTACTGTTATAAGTGGCGAGCGTTTCTATGCTATTGCCAAACCCCTAAAGGCTAGAGTTATTTTGTCAAGAACCCGAATGCGACGATTAATAATCCTTATATGGGGCTTAGCCGTTTTGGTTGCCCTTCCCCAGATTTTCGTCCGTCAAGAAATCGAGCACATGGAGATATTGACCGTCAGATTAATGGCATGCACAGAGAATTGGACAAGCGATATCGGAAAGAATATTTATTCACTGGCAATCTTCGTATTCCTATATCTGATACCATTGGCATTAATATTTTCAGGCTATTTACATATCGGATGTAAGCTATGGTATGCTGATACGACAATTGAATCAGATTTAATTACAAGAAGGGCAAAACGAAAACTAGAAGGGCGCAGAAGGACTTCAAAGCTTTTAGTTGTCATAGCAACGCTGTTCGGAGTGTCTTGGTTACCAATGCATATTCTCAGTATTGTGCTTGATTTCACAGATATGGAAATTCCGAATAAGGCAGCGTTCATGCATGCCTTCAAATATGCAATCTGGTTTGGTCACTTCAATTCTTCTCTGAACCCCCTCTGTTACTGGATAATGAGCCAGAGCTTTAGAAACGCCCTTGTGTCACAATGGTACTGTCTGTTCAAAGGCGCTTCTCAACGCACTTTGAATATCAATGCTTCGCAACAATACCTTAAAGATGCTTCCCAATGTACAAACGGTAGTCTAAGCTCACATCGTGCAACCATTGAAAGAAATAAGAGATACCACGCCTCGACTTTACGTCGAATGCACTCTATCGTAAATGGTAATTCGGAATTAATAGTCTTCAAAGGGACCCCTTGCTCTATAGTGATCACAGAGGCCAGCCCTAGCGATGGAGACATTTCACTTAGTGAACTCGATATAGGTGCCGACCAGTGTGTCAGTCCATCGTTGCTCTGTCCAGACCAAGACAGCACATACCTAGAAAGACTAAGAGATCAATCAAGACCAAGTTCCCCTTCATCAGACGAGATAGAAGTGGAATCGGGATTGTTCTAACTTAAAATAATCCAATTCCTATATCTCATTATATCAAAATATACACTATAAATATAAGAGCTTGAGCCTTTTAATAATATAGCCTTTTATGCGTGTCTATGACGCATCTTGTAATTTTCGAACGCCATGCCGCTTTCCTGCAAGCAAATATTTTAGGAATGACGCTTTGTATCCAAATTTTATATGGCTATATTCGGAAAAACCAAGAAAGAAATATACATTGTAAGTCACTGTCTAAACGAAAACATTGCCATCTTGTTTTCTTTAATTAAGAAGAATTAAAAATGAAGTTATAGCTATAGCTTCCTTATATGGATCATGGCAGGTCACCCCGTAGTTGGAATCTTTTTGTGACGCCATTCTAGCTTTTTAGTGACGTTTGCGATTCCAATACAATTTCACAGCTATGATTAATTATGAAATTAATACCACCAAACGAAATTCAAACCTATCGTATTTTGTTGTCTTTTGATTCATGCTTTTGCTTTAGAAAACGTTAATGGAATCGAATTCGAAAGTGTTTAAATGCGGATGTGTTGGAAGTCGGGGCTCCTGCTGGACTGAGAGCAGATAAAGTTAGACCCAGAAGACGGCATTTTCGCTGAAAAGGGTAATTCAAAAGAAAACACTATTAATCGATGTCAAAACATATTCTAAGCTACCATTCTTACATTCGAGAAGGGACTCGCAACGTTTCTGGTTCCCAATCTCATTTCCATTTGAATTTTTCTTTTCAAAATCAATTTCCTTATTCTTTATCGAATCACAAAAGCCCCGACACTCTATTTGTCAAATATATTTTTCCAGTTATACAATTCAACATGCTAATGCTGGGTTTAATTTCAAGCGTTATTAGTTCTACTCCAGGTGATAAATCAATTCTACAGCAAATAATTATTTTGATTGTTCAGGTCGAAATGTACTGAGTTATTTTGACATGTATCTATCAATTCTTGTCAACTAAGGGTTGGGTACCCTGTTATTTTAATTAAAACCAGTACGCGTGTGAATAGAAATGCTAATCACTCCAAGGTATAGTTCAGCATATCGATCGATCCTTCAACACATTGCATAACAAGATATAATAGTCCAATGGCGGGTCGGGAAATTGTCAGAGGAGGGGGGGGGGGTGACAGAGAAGTGAAAATTATTTCCCGAAATTGCAAGGGGGAAATTATTAGGTTTTTATTAAATGTGGATACACATGTTGAAAAAGGTGAGATTATTGAATGTTACGCCTATTTCTAAAACAAACGAGAAATTTGGATTGAGCTGAGTGGCGGGATGGAACCCTATGTTTCCTTATGACTGGTAGTGTGTTTCGTTTTCATTAGGCGTTTCTTTAATAGAACCAATACTCTGTGTTTTCACTTTGGTTACTGTGCCTCGGTATTTACCATTCTGTATCATAAGTCGCTAAAGGAAAGCAAATAAAATGCTCAGCTATATTCATGTGCCATTCAAAGTCTTGCGTGAGACCTAAACGCCGGTAGTGGCGGGAAATTTTATCCTGAGGGCAAATTAATAAGTCAATATCATCACCCTGGGAGCAATAAAGCTGATGAAAGATTCACCATCTTCAGGTTCTTCTACGAAACATCCTTTCTTTGAAACAACAGGTCTAAATTCAATTGTTTGTAGGCTATATGATTAGTTTTTAAAGTGCTTTTGGAAATACACTGGATGAAACAAATACAGTCAAAATTCACGACCATCGGAGAAATCGACCAGTCCCGCATGGAGGTCCCACGCAAACCTTTAAATGATGTTAACGTATATAGCGCTCTTGAAATGGTCGGTACAATTCCATAGATTAACAATCAGTAAAATGAAGGATGATCGTGATATGTTTCCATAATGGACCTGTCGAGTATAAAGCACTAAAGGCAGTATGAAATAATTATATAAACTTAAATCTGTAGCAGATCAAGTGAGTGCGAATTCTACCGCAGTGCTTTTCCCGGCATGAATGTTTGGGATATAATTAGAATCTGAGTTTTATGGTGTGCCGGATTAATCGATGCAGAATCCACTTGATAAAGACTAGGATATAGACGAAAATATAGGGCGAAAATATGCATAAATCCTAGAAATATTCAGAATAACATGTTGATGGACACTAATTAGATCACCTTCATGTAGATACTCTACAACTCTAGAAATATTTAGGAAAACACTTTTATGGACATTCATCAAATAATCGTCATTCAGACATTCCATAACAGCATTGCCTTAACATCAAGGTCAAGTTTGTAACTTCAGTTAAAAATCATACACTTTCATAATTTGTCAGAATTTAGTAAATGATTGGACTTGGGGAACCCGGTCAATGGTTTTGTATCAATCAAGTTAGGAAATTGCAACAGTTGGGAGTCCATCAATATGATATCCTAAGTATTTGAACAAAATACGACCCTCCAATGGTATATCGAAAGTGATGTTCAATAAATCACTTTGAAAAACGGCTCCATTTCTGACAGCCATTCTAGCAGCAATTTATTTAGATAATGGTGCTGTATATAAGTAGCTATACTCTTCACTTTGCATTTGTTCGACTTCGCTTCTTAAAAGAGAACTTCATCTTCAGATGTTTCCAGTCTTATTTGTGACTGCAAAATAACATGTTATCGTTCTCCAGTTGCAATTACCCTTTGTATTAAGTCTAACTTATTATTCCTCGTATTCAACGTCACTCTTCATATATCTCAGTGCTCACATCCACCATTAAAAGTATAGTTGATTCTACATATTTTCTGTTTGATTTTTATACATAGGGTTTATTTGGTCATTTTATAAAGATATTTTGGGTCGTTGCTTATTGCATTATTAGCAACTTGAAATCTGACTGAGTTCAGACAAGTATGACTGGAATGAAACCGTCAAATCAAACCATGATGGTTTATCGTGTTTAGTCTTCTAAATCTTTTGAAAGAGCCTCGTACAAATGGATTAAATTGCTACGCTAGAAATATGAAAAAATATCAGAACGTAAAGTATTGTGATAATTGTATTAGTCGACCATGTATTGAGTTATGGATATTAAACACAATTACAAAGTCATAATGTATATTTATTAATAGACAAATAAATACATACAATGTTAAACGATTTATTAACAACCATATGTGTCATTTCTAAATAAGGCCGGCGTCTGATTGTGGGTTTGAACAAATATGGTCATTTATTACTGCAAGATATCTTTTGCTATCTTCGCGGTGATTTACCTTTTTAATGGACACTTAAAGAGATACTGAATAAACTTCGCCATGGCAATTTTTCTTTATTCCTTTTTTGTTTTGAGATTTGAATACCATAACATTAACTAACTACCGATTTTCCATGGCAGGAGGATTAACCCCAGAGTTCAAAAATGACCTACGCTTATAATGAAAACCTGTGTGACGATCCTGCTCGTCATTTTCTATATTTATATCATTTCTCCTTACCTGGTACCTTGATCTTGCTTGGAGTTGAGAAAATCACGTATAATTACTTTGTATTGAGCTTCAAATTTACGAAACTGTTTTGATTTTAAATTTGTTTACATTTTTCATGGAGGCCGCCATTTTGGATGGTCATGTGACTAGGAAATTATCTCATTTATATTTTTGATTTTCTGTCATATAAAGAGCACTTTTAAAGCTTAACTGGAACGTAACATGTTCTTATGATGTTATCAATCATGTATTTTGATGTTGCAAACATATTGTTATATGTTTAGACTTTGATGTATAAAAACGTTTTGTTTGAGTTTCGAGATTAACTTGTACACTCTGACATTGTGGACAGCCTTTGATAGTTTGGGAAATCAGCTGTTTTCGTAATCAAGAATCGTTTTGAAGCCTAGAGAATCACTTTGAAGTCAAAGATGTGTTTCTAAAGAAGGCCAACATGCCCGGGATGACGACAAAGCTCTTTGAAAACTGGGTGAGATATATTAGTGTATAATTTTGGTGATTTCACTGGCTGTTTACAATATTATTTAGCCGTAATAATTTTGCTGATTCTGATCTCATCTTTGGATTGTCTTTCTATTCATGTAGACGGAATATAATTTAGTCATTTACGAATAAAGATAGTAAGTTATTTTAGCAGTTTATATCTTTTTCTGTTGGATCATTGGTGATCAGAGTGTGTCATAACCAACCATTTACCTGAATTAATCTACTTTGTCCACAATTGCTTCTGTCCACAATTGCTTCTGTCCACATTTGGGTTTGTACACAGTTGTAATTTGTCCACTTTACAATTCCCAACCCCCTGAATGGAAGATACAGCCTTACCTTGAAGACACAGTTCCTTTTTAACAAGTGATGTATGGCCTGATATAGCAATTATAATATCTGTCCTTCCCAAATCTGTTTTTCACTCATACTAGGGGAAGTGCTGCCCAAATTTTCCCCTCCCCAATCTGATTTTCACTGATACTAGGGGAAGTGCTGCCCAAATTTTCCTTGAGTTTCAACTTATATTATTTACCGATTTTATATTCCCCATGCTGGCCTAATATAACTCAGACATATTTGTCCACAGCTGTCATTTGTCAACAATTGTACAATTACACTTTGTCCACACAATTGTGAAATCATATTTGTCCACAGCTGTCATTTGTCCACAATTGTACAATTACACTTTGCCCACAATTGTGAAATCACTTTTGTCCACAGTTGTCATTTGTCCACAATTGTGCAATTACTATTTGTCCACAATTGTGCAATTACACTTTGTCCACAATTGCGAAATCATACTTGTCCACAGTTGTCATTTGTCCACAATTAATCACACAGTGAGTCTTCCATAGAGCCTTATAAATGAGAACAAGACGGTAAGTGACATATTCGGGGTTTTTGGTTTAATAGAGCACGTTACCAATTCTATGATTTTTGTGGAAGCAGGACCAGAAACTTCACAGTGTTGGCTAAAGCGGTGGGATATGGATAGTGATAGTGGTACGTCTACTTTTGTGAACTGATTGGCTCGCGCATTATATCAAGATCGTGTTTTGCGTCATTTTTTTCTCATTATTCGGGCAGTGTAAACAAATTTAGTCATTCCCAAATTGTTAACACACATGTGTTTAGCTGCAAAAGGAAAACTCTTTGTGTGATACTTCTTTATGCTTGGGATTGTTTATTGTTTAAAATAGATGACCAGCTTGTACTCTTGCATTGTATGTTCTGCAAAACCTGAAGTGAAGAATAAACGAATGTCCACATTGATGCAATGCTGGATTTTTGAAGTCACAGCCATTTCTTCTAAGTGAATAAACCAGGTGTATGATTAAGTAAATAAAAATAAATTTTGTTATTTACTTGTTGTTTCATATTTGTGTGAAGAATAAAGTTGTATGTTGTCAACTGTAATAAATTGATCTGTGTGAAACTGTGGAATCTCTTACATGGGAATAACTTGTGTGAAATATGGCCACGTCAGCTACTGAAAATACTTTGGAGACGACAAAGGACACAGCTCTACCATCTGAGGCATCTACTGAGCAAATGGAAGCCACAGATTTTGACATGAATGGTGAGCTACTACAGTCAGCATTTGGTGATGGTGAAGTACATTGTGGCTTGCAGTCTAGACGTCAAAGAAAGGAACGAGATTTACACAAGATGGCCTATGAATGCTGTGATACAGATATCCTTAATAGTGATACTGATGAATTGTCAAAGAGAATTGACAATCTCTCACAAATGAGATCTCTACCAATTGAAGGTAATTTGTACCCCAATAATTTCATGAATGATGGAAGTCAAACGAAATCTTCGACTATTGATGCCTTAGATCTGAGGATCGATATGGTGTGGAAAAGGCCCGGTACACAGATGAACTCACAAAATAGACCATTGCTGAAGCCAATGAAAATCAAGACAGAACATGCGACATCTACAAATATTGAGACTGCGTCATTGTCAGAAGCTGGGGCAACACCAAAAAGAACCCACATGAATGTGCATGAAATGATACATGACGTTAAAGGAAGAGAGCAGACTTGTGAAGAGGAAAAGTTCTTTTCACCCTCAGCATTGCCAATAGGAGCTAATGATTGTCCGACAGAAATTTCGAAGCCAAGACTCGAAAGACAAGATGCTTTCTATCAGCTGCAAATGCCACAACCGAACTACTATGATGTATTATATGCTCCAATAGTGGAACTAGAAGATACAAAGTATGATTCTTCAGTGCTGCTTGGTGATGGCTTTGAGCGACAGGCAGTCTACCCGAAGTCACAGAGACAACAGTCATCACTATTCCAGGATGATAAAACAGAAACTAAAGACAGAATTGTCCCACAAAAGTTTTCCCAATTGGTGCATATTCCTTATGTTTCATCACCCTACAATTGCATGCAATGGGGAGATTCAGACCTTGATGACACAGGATTGATGACAGCCCAAGAATATGTGCTGGACCAGGGTTATCGAATGCCATTGCTGAAACAACTTGGGAATGATGACCGAAGTCACAGTGCCGATCTGTATAGACAACAGAGTGAGAGACCACTATCGAACAAACATATCAATGTGAGAAGACCAGCTCGCAAAGCATGCCCTGGTGAAAAGCTACCAACTTATTCTGCTATTGAAGTGGGAGCTGATGAAAGAGTATTTATTGAAGCCCAAGCCCAAACAGATTTCGATATGGAAACCTGTGTGTCATTTGTCGAGCCTAAGACATTGAATGGGGTTTCGTGTGTACCTCTCCAATGTGAAGCATTCACAAGAGGCCACAAGAAGAGAATTGTGACTGAACATGATACACCATTTAAAGTAGCAGCTGTGAACGAACCAGCTAATTCTCTGAACAAGGAGCAAATTCAAAATGTGATGAATGATTTCAAAGCAGAAACGCAAAGGTTGGTCACGTCGCAAATGGAGAAGCTAGGCAAGAAGTTGATGCAAAAACTGACAACAAAGACAGAGAAGAACCCTAAGAAGAAGAATAGGCGAGTGTATTGCAAACTTTGTGACTGCAGGGAACACTCCATCTTTGATTGTAAGTCCAGGCACCCTAATTCGAAGAAGCATGGATCAAAGGCTTGCTTCCGATGCGGTGAAGACAATCACGGTGTGATGGACTGCCCCAAGGGCAGCCCCGAGCCCAAGGGCTCGGGAAACTAGATGATGCTGATTCAGTGGGTCCAGAATCAGCCGAGACCTCTGTTGGACTCACTAAAATTGATGGCACAACCCGCAAAGGTCTTGCTGTGCATTTTAATATTTGGAAGTTCCTGATACCAGCTATTGTTGATAGTGAATCTGATGTGTATAATATTCCCACAAAGGCGAGATGGATGAATATATCAACAAAGGCCATGTCTCAAACATAGAGATGACTGATGGAAGACCTGTTGAAGTGCATTGCATTGTGAAGTGTGAGTTTGGAATTAAAGATGCAAAAGTGAAACTTGATTGATGGCTACAAATGTGTAATTTGCGAAAAAAGACATTACATTTAAGAAGCTGAATTTACAGTTGTGATGGATACACTGATGGAGACTTGACATTCATCCGGTTGGTTGAATAAATGAAATGGACTTATTACCCATGTGTGAATGAATAAAGACTAATTGTGAGGAGTGCATGTGAAAACTAATTGTTTGTAATTGAAACTATTCATCATTGTTTTCTTCAACTGGAAATAGTAGATATGACACAGTATTCAGAACCGGCCGGACTGAAAACATGTCTACTTGAACAATCATGCATTATTTTGTTGTAGCAAAATATTTTGAATAATATTTAGAATCTGTCTGTAACACTAGCTATTTTAATGACATATAGAGTCACAGAAAATGATGGTGATGCATTGTATTTGTATATAGACGTTTTGATAAAGACTGGGAATAAAGATTGAGATGAGAGGATTAGATGATCAGTATGTTTTAATGTTACTTGGTTGTCTTGATAAATAACACAAGCGTTACATTTGGTAGAATGATTTGGATGTATAGACTTTGAAGATATGACTATGAACCTAGAGTGTGATTTACTGTAAACCCTCAACTGAGCCTGAGACCCAAGTGTCATGTTGTGATGAAACAAACAGTGAGAGTGTCGCCCATGTGTGAAGTGGTAGTCAAAGGTGAAGCACCAGGCAATCTACATGGAAATGTCTAAGCAATTAAAATGGATGTGGACGCCAAGATCAGGGGAATATCAATTGGTAGATTTTTGGTATATGTAAATCCAAACTACTGGATTCTCGTGAGAATGATCAATTATGGTATCCAACCAACAATGCTGTATAAAGACCCATAGCTTTTGGTGAGCCGCTTTTCATGAATGAAAAGGAACTACCGAGACACGTTCAAGCGTCTGAACGTGAAGTCACAGATATTGGCGGTGTTTCAATCAACTAGAATGATGTCCCGAACACACATTGTAGTGATGTTTGAAGTCAGAGTCTGATCCCTTTGTTGACAAATGCCTGGCCAGGTCTAAACTTGATATTGAACTTGATATTGAATGACAATATCCAATGTTGACCTTGATGACGACTCTGCGGATGATGTTGAGGAAGTGAAATCTGAATCTGAATTAAAAGAGGCAGATGTAGCAAAAGATGACAAAGTACAAGAACATTCGAAGATACTTTTTGAGAACAGTGTGCAACTATTTTCTCCCGAAAAAGTGGAGTGTGTTAAACTGTTTTTATTGATTGAAGTAAACCTAATTATTTGCCAATAACAAGACATACGCAAAACGATGCAACAGAGATGAAAATCAACACTGGCACTGGTGTTAGTTCTGAAGGACAAAAGCTTACGATTTGGTGTGGAGTTTTGAATGTTGAATCACAGGACTGTCGGAGATTCTTACCCGCTGCCACGGTGTGATGAAATCGTTGACAGCCTTGCTGGATCTGAGTACCTGCAGGTACTTATGAGCCAGGATGATGCAGCCATGATTATATGGGATAGTTTTAATTGTAGGTGATGCCATTTAAAGCCAGTATGATGTCAAAGCCAATCTGCAAAATGTTGATGTTGATGATTAAGTTGTATGTTGTATGTTTCCATGAAAAAGTCAAACTCCTAAATTTGTAAAAAGATGGCACAGATCAAACAGATTTGCGACGTGTGTTGATGATTTCAAATCAGTGACAATCGGCGGGTAGTGAACGCGAATAAATTAAAGCGGTTCTGCAGCCAATCAGTTGATAAAATTATTGTGCCACCAAACACAAACGAACACATGTTGATGTCAATGAACCCCCACAAGACCCTGTAATATTTCAATCCCTGATGGGAAAGATAAACTTCTGAGGTCCAAGAGAAATTGAAGAATTCAAGATTGTACAAAAAAGGAAGGTTAAAGCCCCTGATTGATCAATCTGAGTGATTTATATTCAAAGTTAGAAAGCTATGAATTTTATTAGATGTAAATGAGCCTACCCGGTGGTAACTTATCAATGTTTTTGCTTACTTGCAGCAATGCCGTGTTGTCCTCAGAACAGATGAAAATGAAAACTACATCTTCTGCGACAAAAGATACAGAAACTGGCGTGCACTATACCTGCATGTAAGACAACACTATCTATCTCTCAAATGTACATACATATCCCCTGAAGGCCGTGCATGTATGTATTCCTGTGACAGAAGAAGCAGAACTTTGATGGAAAAACATATGAAAATGCATGATGTACTTAACCCTATCAATGCTACAAAAAAAGGCAAATATTTCATTTTGCTGCTAATTCAAGAATGAAGAGCTTTTGCCTCAGTGCTAGACTTTTCATGGTAAAATAGAGAAAATTAGGCCTCGGTATATCTGACTTCATAACTTAGTCATTATTTACGATGGAACCATGTATGATACATCGTTGGAAAGCTAAAATAATTATCTTGATGAATAAATTATTCAAATATGCAAATTAGATATGACGTCATCAATATGGCCGCCATTTTACTTATTAGAAAAATAACGCTGTAAAATACAATTCATAGGTTATTATGAATTAATCCATTTGCCCCTACATCACATCCAATCAAATATAAATTATAAAATAGGACAAAAAACTAGACAAAAATATAATTGCCCATGAATTTGTCATTTGCATATGATATATGGAACAATACATAGCACCGTCGGCCGACCATAACGTTTATAATCTTATCAAAGCTCATTTTCTACTAAAATCCTTGATTTTTTACCAAAATATTGATGGTATTACAAAAACAATTAATTATTACATTTGTATCTTATTTTGTCTACTGATATCAATACATAATATAAATATGAAGTTAATTAAATCATTCTGGATCAATACATGTATAGAAGATAAGAGAATTTCACACATACATATATCAATATCTGTTACCATGACAACGGGTAAGTGGATGTAACATTTTGTAAGAATTTGCAATTTACAGTACAATTAATTCACTAGCGTCCAGATTGATTTCAATTCTATTCTCAAAAAAAAATCTGCTCAAAGTTTTAACTTATTGTTGGCATTATGGCAATGAATATATGTTACCATGGCAACAGATTATGGTTTAACTTGACAAGTCATGCTTAGTTTGTTTGTTTGTTTGTTTGTTTTATTCATTATTTATATTGAAAAGTTACAGTCGTATAAATTGGACATTTAGATTGATTGATTTATGCCCCTTGTAATTTCCTTTAATTTTTTCCCATCGCTTTTACATTTCAACCTACAGATTGTTGGTTGAAGAAGGTATTGAATGAGATATACTTTGTGCTATAGTACTACTGTAACTTTATATTCATGTCCAATGTGTCTGCCAGCAGGAGTTGCCCAAACTCATATCCTCTCCTCTTGCTGTTTAGAAGGAACACTTCAAATGAACCCCTTTCCACATTCTGTCCTGGAATGGTGACAGGTCCCTAGCTGGCTACACAGAACATACTGCTTTTCTTGTTGTCAGGTAATATCCCTGGCCAATGGCTTAGTGCATTAACTAAAGTGCAGGACAGGAGGCAGTTGCAAGGCCCTCAATCAGGTCAATCATAAATGAGTATCTGAAAACAAACATCAGTAATATTATTTATAAATGTTCACTTACATTGAAATCGATATATATATTGTGATGTATATTCAAAATTGTAATTGATATTAAAAGAAAATTAAAGAAAATATCATTTTATATCAGTTTCTTTAAAAAAGATACAATACATTTGTTACATGATTACTGCCATATGAGGGTTATGGAAATTCATAATCAGACTTGACAGTCAAGGGGCTAGCTAATGATATGAGCAGCTGTTGAGAACAGTTGCAAACTCGACACCTACTGTAGTGAAAAGATTAGCTAGTATATGTACATGTATGTACCAAAAGTACCCTCTCAATGATCAGTTTCGACCATACCTGTAGCTCATGCTGACATGAGTTTTCTTAAACTAGCCTACATACCTTTGCATTGTCTTTTCTGTATCTGTGTGCTCCATATACAATGTAAGAGTTAAGCAGCATTCAACTGAGTATTTCAACGCCCACTTTATGCCAGTATTGGAGTTCATCCATCACTGTGTGATCATTTGACCTGTGCTATCCACTGTCCCCATCAGTTGTTATCCTGCAATATGTAAATGATTAGGCTATCTGATTATCATTTGTATAACAAATATTAGTTTTACTTATCATATGAACGAATTTCAGAAAATGCGCTATATGTTCAATAAATATTTTGTACAAATCTATGTACCACAATTCCTTTCTTGAGACATGTATTTCACTGAATCTGTTCAATATGTTCTTTCTACTGTTTAGTAGTTACAATATACACCAGTCAGAAATAACATACAAATATTTATTTCTATTGAGGTTGAATACATGTGCATCTTTCACTAGTGATATTTCACGAAGCCCGAAGTGCAAGTAGAATATCTTGTGAAAGCGTCAAGTGTCAAGCATTCACCAAAAATAGAATTAAATATTTATTTTATTATTCACTCTTATATTCCTCACTCACATATATGGAATGACAAACTATCGATGTCTAATTAATCATAACAATGTACCCCCGAATATATACAATCAAAATTACACTGGACTAAGTTGTGACAGATGAATATTGCTTGTTATTTTTGTTGATTTAATTTCAGTAGTACCATTCTTCTGTTTTCAGGGTAAACTAAATCAAATGTCTGAGAGGAACAAAGAAAAAAAATAAAATAAAGTTATTTCATGTAACTTGTCTAAAGATATATGGCATTAACCAGGAAAGTTATGCACTGTTCCTGTGGTGTGAATATGTTTTAAATGTGAAAGCAAAATATAAAAGTGTAAAAATAGGGTCTTGTATTACATATTATCACGGTAAAAATTTTACCTCTTGCTCATAGAGACCAGTCCCGCAATCAGAGCAATGTTTTCATGGAGAGTATTATGGCAGAATTCCCGTTGAACGCAGAAATCAAGCACCTGACCTTGATATAGGGGTTGCAGCCAGGCTTGTCTTCAACTAATGCAACCTCATTATTGTTCATGTGCCAGAACCGCAAAAGTAGCTGAAATCGGTCTCTCGTAAAGTTTTTTCCTAACTGGGGGTTGCCTGATTCCATCTATAATGAGAAAATGCATAGAGGTTATTTACTTGGAGGGATTGAACGTGGGGTTTATTTCCCTAGGATCATGATTTTTCATTTTTCGAATTTTCTTTTCTAAAATTAAATTCTTTTTCCTTCAAAAATCTTCATTTTTGGCCAAATTTTTCATTTTAGGCCGAATTTTCATTTTTTCATATACAGTACTTTATATCATTTTACTTCATGATTTGAATTCATACATTACAAAATGTTTTTATTTTTTTATTTA